CATCGAATTCCTCTTATGGCAGATTTTCTTTTCCTCGTCGTTTAAACCACATTTCAAAAGTTAAATTGCAGTAGACATTCTCATGAAGTAATTCATTTTCGTAACATGATTTTCCCAGAGATTGGATTCTTTTAATTTTATTTAATTTTATTTTCTTTTTTATTATTTTTCTTTCGTGCGACTCGATGATACGAAAGGCATACGTTAACAACCGAACGAAAAGATGATTTCTTCCTTTTTTTTTTTTTTTTTTTTTTTTAATAGTAATTATGAATGGATTCGTGCGCGCGAGAGAGAGAGAGAGAGAATGAGAGAGAGAGAGGAAGAGAGAAAGAAAAAAAGAATATCTTTTTGCTTCCTATTAGATCATTCCATCGTCCGAATCGACTGAATTAATCAGAAGGATTCATAATGGTCGTCGTAATCGAGGAAAGATCGCGTAATTTTTAACGACGAGGATAGAAGATATGATTCGTTTTACTTAAAGTGGCTCTGGTATTACTACTAGTCACAAAAAGCATTATCTCGTTATCCCTCTTGTCGGTTTTCTCTTGTTAAGAGGGAGGGAGTTAGGCGTGGGTAGGAGGATAGGATTGGTAAGGGGTTAGCGAGGGATTGGAGTGAGAGAAGAAGGAAAAGTGGAAAAGGAGTTGAAAAGTGTAAGTAACCGACAAGGATAATTTCTATTTCCCGTTCGGTTTGTTCTTCGGAGTATCCTAACACGTTACCACGCTTTCTTCGCAAGGAGAAATGCTGTAAAGTAGATCGCGAAGATAAGACAAATTGAAAGCCGAACAGATGCCGAGAGAAGATGCCCAAGTGGCATCGTTGCTAGGTTACTAGCTCCTTTATATCGATGAGTGAAAAAGAGAGAAAAAGAAAGAAAGTTATTTTCTATCAATTGAAAACTTTATAATATGCGTATTTTATATATAGAAGAAGAATTTGTTTTTGAATATCTTGAATAGTATTTTGAATATCTTTTGTATAACATTAATATATTATTTGTAATATATATTTTATTCATGTTGCCTTGGGTCGTATAAAAATTTTAATGTTTAATCGTTGGTATCGTTTCCGAAAGGAGAAATAACATTTTATACTTTATAGATGATGGATAGAGTTATATTAAGAAACTTTTTTGAGCCCCTGAACAAAGATATCCCGTTATCCGTACAAGTATGTACGACTGTATTGCCTATCACAGGGACTTAAAAAAAGTTTCTTACCGATAACGTTCGTAATCTATATTATCGGCGAAGATGTATAAAGTGGTGCCTATCTTCAGGCATAATATTTTATAATATTGACATATTCGTGAGATTTAGAGTCGAGAAAAATCTATATAAATAAATCCGTTTAAATGAGAAAATAAATAGAGAGATGATAGTGGAAACATGATCAACCCATTTTACTTTCCCTTTCGTAATACAATTGGTACAAGCTCGATGATCGAACTATTTAGAGGAGCGTACACACTCTCTCGTTTCGATGTTACTCCAGTATTAAAACAAGCTGTTACCTCCAGGCAGTTAGATCGAACGCACGTTACTAGCATGTTACAATCGAGAAACTATCCATCGTGTTGGCTATATCGAATAGTTACTCCTAACGGCTTTTATATCGAAGCTCGAAAGCCAGAGAAGTGAAATAAATTTACACGCCAACCGATGAATTTTGCTTTTTTTTTTTTATCCGTGTTCTTTTTTCCTCTACCCCCCCGCCTCCGCCAATTTAAAAACCCTTTTATTTATTTTTATTTTATTTCATTTTATTTTATTTTATTTTATCCACAAATTAAACTTCCTCTCGATTCGAAAGTTTTCTCTCTCTCTCTTTCTCTCTCTCTCTCTCTCTTTCTTTCTCTCTCTCTCTCTCTCTCTCTCCCTCTTCCTCTTTCTGTCTGTCTTGTATCGGCAGAATTTTCATTTTCACCTGGCTCCTTCCAATTTTCCTCGGTATTCTCGATTCGATCCTCGAGTGGGTACATACTCGAGTTAACGACTTCATCTGGGACCGCGTGTACCTATCGTCTAACCGGCACGACTTCGTAGATCGCTTTGAAGAGCGTACTGTTAGAGAATGAGAAGAAGCAGAGATGAGGAAGAAAGAGAGAGAGTAAGAGAGAGAGAGAGAGAGAGAGAGAGAGAGAGAGAGAGAGAGAGAAAAAGAGAGAAAGAGACTTTTCGAAAATGAATGAATTCGTTCGTTAGGAGATTCAATATTGTTTCAACCTTAAGATTCGTAGGAAGAGTCGAGTAGGGTACTTTTACACATATACACACACACATACACACACATATACACACACAATATTCTATTCCTTTTCATCAATTAAATATCTTTAATATTTTTATCAAAGCGAATATATCCTTCCATATTTTTTCGCGTTTACAAGTTAATCAATATTCTTTTGATAAAAAAAAAAAAAAAAAAAAAAAAAAAAAGGAAAAAGAAAAATAAAAAGAAAAAAATGTCTACTAAATTGAAAATTTAGTAGTTTCTCTTATCTTTTCCTTTTTTCTCTCTCTCTCTCTCTTTCTCTTTCTCTCTTTCTCCCTCTTCTTCTTCTTTCATTCTTTTTCTCCTTCCTTTAAGGAAAATGGGTCACAAATCTATCTTTATAAAAATATTAGTCTCGTTTTATGGTCTTTTGTTTATTTTTTTTTCTTCCTTGTTTGCTTCGCCATGAAAAAAAGATAGGAAATTTTGGAGATTTCATATATATATATATATATATATATATATATATATATATATATATATATTAAAAAGCTTTCTTTCTCTCTCTCTCTCTTCTTTTTTTCTTTTTTTTTTTTTTTCTTTTAAACGCCGACACGTTGTGTGTGCGTGCAACATCATCGCCGAGCAAAGTGTGGCTACCGTGGAAGTGCGATAAGAGCCGCGAAGGGAGAGAAACGATGATACTCATGGAAAAGGGCTGCCCTGAAAAGCCTACCGCAATCATCGTAAGGGGATTCAGGGTCCCCTTTTGGTACTCTTTCTTTCTCTCTCTCTCTCTCTCTCTCTCTCTCTCTCTCTTTCTCTCTTTTTCTCGCTTCCCTTTTCATCGTGGTCCCACCCATGTCCTTCTCGAGTATCCACTCGACTCTTCCGTCTATCTCTTAACCGTTTCGTCTTTCAAGTGCGAGCTGAACGGAACTCGCCTTAATGGCTCCGCTGAGGACGAACGGCAGTAGTTGCTCGAAAAAACAATTTTCCTTGTCTCTCCGTCCTTTTCTCCTTCTCTTTTTCTTTCTCTTTATCTTCTTCTTCTTCGTCTTTTTCTTTTTCTACTTCTTTTTCTACTTCTTTTTCTTCTTCTTCTTCTTCTTCTTCTTCTTCTTACAGACGTAAAGTATTCTTTAAGTCTCTCATATTAATTTGCTTTCAAATGAAATTTTCTCATTTTTTTTTAATTATACGTAAATTTCTTTGTTTTTCTTTCCCTTCTTTTTTCCCCTCCCCCTACTTTCTCTCTTTTTCCTTTTTCTTTTTTTTTTCATCTTCATTCTTCTTATGCTCTTTCTTTTCTTTTCTTTTCTTTTCTTTTCTTTTCTTTTCTCTTCTTTTCTTTTTTTCTTTTTTTTCTTTTTCTTTTCCTTTTTCTTTTATTCTTTCCCTTAAATCATTATATATCATCAAGAATACGAGAGAATTAGTTCTCTTTGGTTAATTTTTTATTTATCTCTTTTCTTTTTTTTTTTTTTTTTCGTTACATTGTTCGTTTCTTTATATATATATATATATATTTAATCTTCTTTTTTTGGCACAATATACATGCATAATTTTTTTCTTCTACAATTGATTCGTATTTTGGTTTTAATTTCAGATATGAATCCGATATCTGGGACTATCTAAAGGATTCGAGTTTGGCCGCCATAGGATGATAACTTTTCTCTACTACGTTTCACGTCGAACTCTACGGGATAACGGAATTGGCTGCATCTAGGCTCTATCTTGGATAAGAATAAAAATATATATATATATGTATACATACATATACACACACACACACATATATATATATATATATATATTCCCATATACGACGTTGGAAGAGCGCTGGAAGAAAAGAAGTAAAGTAAAGTAGAGGGAAAGAAAGAAGAAAGCCGCCAGTAGGATTTTCTGTATGGGTATCTATCTTTGTACACACACAGAAATATCCTCATGCATGCACGCACATGTATACAAACATACTCACACACACACATATATATATATATGTATGTATGTATATGACTATGTGTGTATATACATAAGATCTTCGGTAGGGGTTCTCCGTTGTGAACTTTTGCAGATATTGAATATCTCGGACCATCAATCACCTTGACGCGGCAATATCCGAAAGTATTACTCTTATATTTGTTTCTATATCGAGCACCGATTTATGGCTAAGGCACTCACTTTCTTCCGTCCAACTCGTGGCTCGATCATGCGCATCTTTTGTCTATATAGGAGGAGGAAGAAGAAGAAGGAGAAGAAGAAGAAGAAGAAGAAGAAGAAAAAAGAGAAAAACAAAAAAAAGAAAAGAAAAGTGAGGATGATAAAGAAAGATAGATAGATAGAGAGAGAAAGGGAGAGAGAGAGAGAGAGAGAGAGAGAGAGAGTAAAAAAGAAATAAAGAAAGTGATGAATAAATGTGAATCGTTTGAGATCACGTATGAGTAATTAATTCTATCGAGATAAAAATCGAGATAAAGATAATTAAAACACGTTCTTATAATTCTCATAACAATGAATTCTTATTTTATTTTATAATAATTTAAATATGTTTTATTAATAGTTAAGTAAATTATGTCTGTCTACTGATTGGTATGAATATTTTTATACGATTGTTATTTAAAGAAATTTCATATAGAAATTATTAATACACACGCATTCACATAGATGCATTCACACGGCACTCATACACGCACACACACATATATATATATATATATATATATATATATTCATGTAGGCGTTGTATAGTACTATATTGTATTACATTACTATTTTATAACGAGTCTTTTTATATCTCCTTTAAAGCAAACACGGTATATTCGTTAGCACGCCTTTTATTAATCTTACGGTGCGATTGTAATTTCAGTGCTCTTTGCCGTCAGTTAGCTTGATAGAGAGAGAGAGAGAGAAAGAGAGAATGAGAGAGAGATACACTCAGTGCTTTTGAACACCGAGGGGGAGTTAATCATCCAGAAAGTGTCGCGTGTCAGAGGGTTACCCTGTCTTCTCCTTCTCCTTCCTCCTCCTCCTCCTTCTTCTCCTTCTCCTTCCCCTTTTTCTTCTTCTTCTTCTTCTTCTTCTACGTTATCATCGTCGTCGTCGTCGTTGTCGTCGTTGTCGTCGTTGTCGTCGTTGTCGTCGTCTTCGTTTTCTTATTTTTCTTTTTTACTAAACAAAAAATATTGGAAAAAAAAAAAAAAGAAAAGCAAGAGGACATTGCATTGTTTTATTTCTCTTTACTTGAACGCGAATATATTCTGACGTTATCGATAATTTTATTTTTGTCATAGTTCTTATTTCTCTTTTCTTTTTCTTTATTTCTTTCGTTCCTTTTTTTTTTTAGAAACGATCTTTGACCATCCAACTTTTGCATTTTCTGATAAGAGATATATACATAAAAAAAAAAAAAAAAATGTTGGAGGATAAGTCACGTCTATCTGTTAGATACTTTATCTTCTATCGTTTTATCGTTTTCCCTCTCTCTCTCTCTCTCTCTCTCTCTCTGTCTCCCTTTAACTGTTTCCACTATTTTTTTTATCTCTTTCTCCCTCCACTGTTTCCACCATTTTTTACCTCTCTCTCTCTCTCTCTCTCTCCTCTATTTCCACTATTTTTTTATCTCTTTCTCTATCTATCTATCTATCTATCTATCTATCTATTTCTCTTTTTGTCGTTTTCTAACAGTTTCCAAAGTTATTCGGCGAGGTTTCGTATTAGAATGCAACGCGCATCGGTCGCGCTTCTCTCTGCCTAGAATTTCAACAGCTGGAAACAGTTTCTCGCGGAACGACATTTTCGAAGGCCGAGTAAATAGTAAATATCGTCGAGGTAGCTTCCCGAGGAAAGAGAGAGAAAGAGAGAGAGAGAGAGAGAGTGGAAGAGAGGAAGGAAGAAGAGATGAAATAACTTACGGCTTCTCTTCCGTACGACAGTCAGGAGAAGACCTTCTACTGCGAATCTTTGCGAATCGTTTCCATATTTGTTGGAAGTTAGTATAATATATTTTTGCGAAGAAAAAAAAAAAAGAAAAAAAATAGAGGAATATATAGATAGAATAGGAAATTTATTAGGAAAGCTTTATCTTGGTTATATATACGTTAATTAAATAAAAATATATCATAGATATATCTATATTATATATATATAATATATCTATATTTTATATATATATGTATATATATATATATGTATATATATATATATGTATATATATATATATGTATAAAAGTATTGAAAGTTTTAGTTAGATAAAGATTTGTCAATATAAGGATGTAATTTTTTAAACGATACATTTATTGCAATTATGAAGCGCGTAAAAAATTGTAAAATCTATTTGAAAGTTTATCGTTCGAATGAAATTTTTTCAAAACGCAGCGATAGTATAATTACGATTATAACAAAAAAAAGAATTTAAAATGGGTTTTATATGAGGATTTATAATGCGTACGAACGAATGAATAACGATTGGATAAATGTTTTATTAAAGAAATAAGTTTATTTGTAGAAAATTGTTTATATATATATATATATATATATATATATATATATATATGTATGTATGTATGTATATATATACATGTATAAAGTAAACGATATTTAATGATACGAATGAGAAGGGGGATTCGAAATTCATCTTCGTCTCGTAGAAACTAACTCGGCGCAACCCTACGACGATATGATAGGAGAGGTTAAAGCTCATGCGACTACTACTACCCTTAAAAGCGGAGACGGATATAGAGGGATATCGTCGATAGTTTACACAGCGATAAAAATAATCCCGTAAAAGGCCCGTAAACTCGGTATACTGTTAGAGTTATGATATTATGCTTTTATAGGGAACGGAAAAGACCGACTGATATCCTTCATTCTCCTGCTGAGTTATTCGCATAGGACCCGAATTCGCGTTAATAAGAATCGTTCGATCGAATTGCGAAAGGTACGAAGGAAAAGAAAATAAGAAAAAGAAATAAAATTAGAGAAAGAGAAAGAGAGAGTAAGAAGAGAAAGAGAGAAAACAACGTTAATATCGTCGTCTACTAGGTTGGTACACTTTGTTGCACATCGAGGACACACTCGATTCGAATTCGTTCTGTGATTTTTCCCTTTATGCCATATTGTACGAATGCATATCGGCACTGCGATCTTGTAAATGTTGAACGTTGAAACGTCAAAGAATTCGACAGGTTGAAAGAATCTCGACAAGAAAGAAATTCAAACGCACAACCGTAAGAAAAATTGTATTCTTCACGGTTCATTTGTTAATATGGTCTTCTTTTTTTATATATATATATATATTTTTTTTTCTATTTTTATTCTTCCTTTTTGATCATCGAAACGTTTCCTTTCTTTTTCTTAATTCCTCTTTTTATTATTTATTTATTTATTTATTTTTTTTTTTTTTTATTTATTTATTATCCTAGAAATATGTCATTTCTATGTAACGTTTTGCGTATACGTCGAACGTGTCGCTTATCGTTAGGCTACACGGAAGGAAGGAGGGGGAGAGAAAAGACATGCTTTCAAGGGTTTTGTGCGAGAACAGCTCTCGTTAGATATATCCCTCGTAGAAGGATGATCGATCATTAATATGATCGACGATTTAAAGAGAATCTTCTTTTCTCATAGCTATCGGGAAAATCTTAAGCTTTGACAGCTTAAGATCTTCGTAGAGAAATTTGATCAATGCGATTGGACGAACGTAAATTATCGATCGATAATGTTACATCGAAAATTGTTCAAGTTTAACGGAAAATAATATATATTTTAAATCTAATGGGACAAAATTGAATTCGAATGAAATCATTATTTCGAAAGGAGGTAAAAGGAAAATAAAGTAGAAGAACAGGAAAAGGGAAGAAAAGAAAATGTTTTATACGGAATTATCACATTAACTTTTCGATTTTATTTCGAATTGAAAGTCAATCTTTCTTTTCCTTTTTTTTTCCCCACCCCCTTTTTTTTCTTCTCTTTTTTTTTTTTTTTTTCTTATCGGAACGTCATGTCTGTATTATTGTTTTTGATTTTAACGATAATCAAGTAGAGAAGCAAGGGGTTTCCTGTCAAGGAGTTCGCCGGGAGGGTTTGTTGCGATCGTTTGGTGCTTGTACATCCCAGGACACGGTGGCGCACCTTCTAAAACTTACCCCTTCGAAACTCTGCTTCTCTGCGGCCAACAGTTTCGCTCAACTTTGACAATCTATATCGCTCCGCAGTTCGTGTCTCGACACCTGGCCACATCGGCAGAAAACTTGGCCGACTCTAGATGAGACCCTCCTCCTCTATATAATGCTACACACTCTCCTCGCTATCTCTTTCTCTCTCTCTCTTTCTCTCTCTCTCTCTCTCTCTCTCTCTCTCTCTCTCTTTATCTTTCTCCTCCTTCCTCATCTCAACTTATATCGGCAAAAATTTTTCCAAGAGATTGAAAAGACAAACGACACACACGTCGTATCACGACGTTCTACTTTCTCTTCTTCTTTTCTTTTTTATTCTTTCTTTCTCTTTTTCTTTTCTTTTCTTTTTTTTTTTCTTTTTTTTTGTTTCTTTCTGTTTTCCTTTCCTACTTCCTCTTTCCCTCTTTTCTCTACTTATTTTTTTCTTTTTCTTTTCTTTTCTTTTCTTTTTCTTGCGGATCATCATCATCAGATCTAAATCACCGTGGTTACTATCTATGTATGCCATTTCTATCTGTTTACTATTCACACGTTTTGTAACTTTGAATAGTGTTCGTTAACGCTAATAAAAATAAGTTAACGGAACATAGACACGTACGTTTAAGTTACTTCGAACGTATAAAAAGTATAAATTTCTCTGGGAACGTATCAAACGAGAGAAAGTGTAATCGTGTAAATCGTTTAATTACTTGCCGTAATTACTCCCCGTAAATGAGGACCGATGTCCGATTTGTTGATTCATTTGGGTATGTATATACTATCTATGCATTCGTATTTCCATTACATTCCCAACCTAACGTAATATAATTTACAAGTTCAGGAAAACGGTTTAATTATCGCAAAAAGTCAAATGCAATATATATATATATATAACGCATCAAGTTATCAATGTTGAAAACTTTCTTTCAAGTACACATACACATACACACACATACACAGATAATTTAGTTCGGTTAATAGAACATGTTCGACGTGTTTTCTGTATATTTCTGTCGTTTTCTTCCTTTCTTTCTTTTTTCTTTTTTTTTTTTTCATTTTTTTACTTTTAACTTCTAATCACGTCGACGAAAGAAATCGAAGAAAAAGAAGAAAAAGAAGAAGAAGAAGAAGAAGAAGAAGAAGAAGAAGAAGAAGAAGAACCTTCATATTCGATCATTTTATCGATGTCCACTTTTTTCGTTAACTCGGTCGATAATGCAGGTCGCGTATATACGATCAACGATTGGAAAGAGGGTAGACAGAAAAAGAGGGAGGTAGGGAGAAAGAGAGAGAGAGAGGGAGAGAGAGAGAGAGAGAGAGAGAGAGAGAGAGAGAGAGAGAGAGAGAAAGATATATAGCGAGATATAAAGGGAGAAAGAGAGAAGAGAAATAGGGGAACGTTCTGAAATCATACTAGA